GGCTATTGCCTCATCATTATCAGAAAATGATCGTATAGGGCGTACACACGGAGCCGTTGGACCCCCCAGAGCGTTGCGTATGCCGTTCTATCCACCTTGAGACCCGTTATCGTTTCCGCAGTCGTTTAGTGCCGTATTCAGTCGTCCTCGTGTGGCCGAACGGTCTATATGACACTAAACAGTAACGCAAACGACCGTTTTCGTCCTTGTGTGGCCGGGGCCTAAAGGAACCAGCCTGTTTTGAAAATGTGAGAAGTAGAAAGTACAGGTATTAGGGTTCAACATGTAAGAAGCCAAAGTAAAAAGTCGTGGAGTAAAGTACTGATACCAGATAAATGTGCTTGAGTACAGTACCGAAGTATTTGTACTCTACTTCTTCCCACCTCTGCCATCAACTAGTTGTTAATTAACATTTTAGAGACAAACTACAAGCTTATTGGTTATGAACAAGACTTCACTTTAGAATAGGGAACGTTTTCTTAGTTAGAAATACCACATTTTGAGTTATTTTGACACAATTAACACTTGTAGTTTCATGTCTTGTTACATAAGAATAGACCATATTTGTAAAGTACTGATACCAGCAATGTACTTAATACAGTAACAAAGTATTTGTACCCACTTCTTCCCACCTCTGCAAGACAATGTCAGGTGCGTCTAAAAGTGATTCTTATTTTTTTAAATGTCTTCCAGGCTCACTGACTCTCCACCACTGGCAACAACTGGCCCACCTCACCTGGCCACCATCTTGGATCCTCACCCAGGTGAGTGACGAAGGGTTTCTGCCCCTTGGCTCAAGATGCCGTCTACAACATGTCAGACATGGAGGAGGATGAGGAGGGTGAAGAGCGCAGGAGCAAACAGGAGAAAGGGGCGGCAGAGCGAGGTAAAGAAGAAGAAGAAGAAGAAGGCGGGATAACCTTCAAAGTGAGGGTTTCATCTACACCGAACGACAGGAAGTATTCGGTTTCGCCACTTCCTGTCCCGCCTCCCTCCCCCGAGTTACCTTCTCCTTCTACTTCCTCCTCTGTTAAATTGGACCTCTGTGTGACTCATCTCGTCTCCAGCCAATCAGCGCAGCCCATTACAGGAACATGTGCAACAGTGGTCCAATCACAGAGTCAGATCTGCATCTCCACGACAACAACTTCTTCTAGTAAGTACTACTTGAAATTTTTTAAATATATCAGAATCAGAAACAGGTAGGTTTACACATAGGAGGAATTTGACTTGATGTCATGGTGCATACATGAAAAAATATTAGAAATATAGCAGTATTTACATAGAAATAGAATGGAATAAAATATGGAATAGAATTCGGCAGTAATAAGGAAAAACAAAACAACAACAAAACACTTTTATGTATGATATATACTATTACATTATTACAGCTCTTTGTTGTGTGTTATAGTCCAAAATCCAGGGAAGTGCCAGAGCTCTACCTTCTCGACGTACACCTTCACGACGTGTAGCATCCTGCACCCGAGCGACATCACACAAGTCACCTCAAGGTAAGGACAAAGAACATTAGAGAGTAGAGTAAGCTATCTTAATACATATATGAGAAGAAAAGCACACATCAGTAGTCAAATCGAAATGAAGACAACAAAGTAAACAACCAAATGAGTAGCAGCAGTTAAAACCAAAACAAAACAAGTGACATAACTTCTGTTTTTCCAGTTCTCAGTCGTCCATCATGGCCAACACTCCTAGCTCCATGAGGACGGGTCCCAGTACCCCAGTGACTCCGTGCAGGCTGAGTTTAGGCGACTGTTTCCCCCCTCGTCGCCCTCCTGTACCCACCAGAGGTCTGGCTAAACTGGTCCTGGAGAGAGGCATTTCTGCACAAATCTCCATTGACACGCCTCCTCCATCTCCAAAAGCTACATCCCGACAGCCTCTGTTTCGTCTCCTCCCAGGAACGCCTCCTAACTCCCCTTCTCACTCTCGATCTCCCTCTCCTGTGCCTCATGAATTACGTCAACATCCCGCCGATAATTTTCCTCGTTTCTCGGCCCGCGGAGCTTTTCCTGCAGGACGTTTACGGGTTAAATCTGGGTCGTGCTCCACATCCAGATTTGCCGAGTCCCTCCCAGGAAGCTCCAGCTCGCGCCCCTTCCCCTAAATTGGGTCGACCTAGGCCTGATCTCGGCTTAGTGGAGAGATTACGACGACTTGGATTCACTAAAGTGCTCCAAGGATCGAAATCCGACGCATCAGCACCACGAAAGGATTGTTCTACGTTTGTTTCAGCAGGTGGTGGAAGCCTATTGGACGGTTTGAGGCGGAACCAAAGTCTCCCAGCTATGATTGGTGCCCGAGCAGCGAAGTCAAACCCAACTCTTCCTCCTCCTCATCCTACAACCCTCGCTCTCCTCCCCCCTTCTCCCTGGGGAAACCCAAAGAACGACGCCGCCATCTTGGCTCTGTCTCCCATGTCCCGTCATCCAAACGTTGATTGTCCAGAACATTAAAAACCCTTCTTTAACACCTCCATCTTCTTCTTCCTCCTTGTCTGCCTTTTGGAGAAAGTAGTAATGGCGGAACAATCCCTCCTTTTTATGACTTTATTTTAAAGCACAATTTAAACTGAACTGACTGTTTTTAGCTATACCGCCGCAGTGTCTGTGTGTAGCTGTTTGCCATGATGCTAGTTACCGAGGCCTTAGTTTTTGCCTCCTACTGGGTTTTTTCCACATCTTGATACCTTCTGTCATTATTAGTATTTTATATATTTTTCCCACGTGGCTCTGGATGTTCAGGTAAAGGTAGACGAGGGACATGTAAGTGGACGAAGGTTTGTGGATGTGGATCGAAGAAGAACGAGTTATTACGAAGGAACGAAAAGGAAGGTTTTTGTTAATAATGGAAAAATGGAAAAGTAAGTGAAAGAGAGACTGAACATCCAGAGTTGCTATTCCAAGGGCTTGTTGGTTGGAAAAGTCTGTACTATCAAATGCCCATTTTAAAGTCGATGGTTTATCTAAAAATAACCAGTCACAAAAGAAGGGAATAAACATTAGGGCTTCGGATAACAAATATTTCCTTTATAGTTTAACCTGCCGATTATTTTCTAGATTGATCGATGAATGGTTTGGTCAATAAAATAGTGAAAAACCTCCCGGTCAGATTCTCTAAATTCAAGATGATGTCTTTCACTTCATTCAAAACCACCTTTTAATGATACGAAACTGAAAAAGGAGGACATTTTCTGTCATTTTTCGCATGAACAATAACCACCCATTATTTTTCTGTGGATCAAAGTTCACAAATGTTCACCGCTTTATTCAACATGCTTCTTTAACTTGAGGATTTTAAGTGCTAGCTGGCTTCATAGCATACTGCCGGGCTAATGTTGTAGTCAAACCATGCTATTGACATGCCGGTATTATTCATATTATTATGATTTTACAGTAGTCCAAATTTGTTGCACGGATGTTTTGTTCATCGTCCATGTGCCATGCCTCTTGCTACTTTGCCTACAAGTCCCAGCATGCATTTCGGGCGAAGTCCCTCCCTTTCCTCCATGTGACCTTATTTCGGAAAAATTATGTATTGAAGTCAATGGAGAGAGAAATATTATCTTTCGATCCCGTTTGAATTGTGCCACGAATTACACATATTATGTTTGTCAATTTAAAAGATAATTTTGCAAGTAAAAAAAAAAAAAGATGTCGTAAAACTGACATTTTGTTTGTGTGAAACCGCTCAATGAACTACATCTCCCGTCTCGCACCGCACACCAAGACGGCCGTCACGTTGAAAACATTTCACTTCTTTCTTTCAGAATGAGGCGGAAAGTATTAAAAGAGGTGAAAATCACTACAAGTCTGGGCGCGTTGAGAGCTGTACACACACACAAGGGGAGTTAGTCGGTTCCGTGAGAGCCAGCATGCGGGACCGGGACTCTGGGATTTGTAGTCTTTCTAGCTGCGTAATTTTCATAGTCTTTTATTTCAACAGTTTTACGACAAACTGACTTTTTTGACATGGAAATTATTTTTTAAGTTTGACAAACATCATGTGTACTAATTCGTGGCACAATTCAAACGGGATCGAGAGATAATCTTTCTCTCTCCATTGACTTCAAAAACCAAAAGGGTCTGTCTTTTCCTTCAGGTCATTGTGTTTTTACCTTCAGGTCATTGTGTTTTTTCCTTCAGGTCATTGTGTTTTTAAATTGTAAAAGGCCTTAAGTAGAAGCCAGTACTGTTATAATTTATTTCCCTGCTAAGCCATGTTTGTATTATATTATTTGCACTTGGAGTTTGTGTTAAGTTGAGAGTCACTGATTGGTTGAACACATTTTGAAATGGATTTGAAGAAAGCTTTGACACTTATTTTAGGATACTAATGTGTATGGAAGAGTATTAAGTGCAGGCATAAGAGTGGAACAATTACAATAGGAAGTATTTCTTTTTTTCAACATTAAACTTAATATTTACCTTAATATTCCTATTTCCTCCCCTGCTTATGCCTGGACCTTATACTATTTATAGATTTGGTTGTTTTGTTTAAAAATGGTGTTATATTAGTTTACACTGGCCAAAATCCACTCGGCTCCAACTCCGCACTTTTACTTTTGTATTTACTGACACCTCTATTTGAAGTATAACATTAATTTATCATAATGTGTGCCTGTTGTAACACTGTCAGCTAACATTAGGACTTACGGTTTTAATATATGTAGCATTTTTTATTTTGCTTTCCACATGAATAGGTTAACAGAAGGGAATCTAGATGAGGCCGAACACTAACACATATTTACAGTATGACGTGCTAATTAGCTGTAACACAGTCAACAAATGGTTGATTGGATTTGAGAGAAGGAACATACAGACATGTCATATCCAGCAATACAGGTGTGTCTTTTAGCTCAAATATAAAATGTCCTCTCCTTTCTTCATGCCTCCCTTTTTAAAAATCATAATCCTCTGTAAGCTACTCGTCTGTTTTTCAGTTGCCTCGTTTTTTAAATAAAGCAATGGAAACAAAAAAGCCACTGACTCACCAAGTTGTTTCTTTATTACTCATACTTGTTAGAAGAAGTAGTGAATATGTTTGCTTCAAGTGCATTGAAAATAAGAACAAAAGCATCTGTTGTTTTGTCCAATTCAATAGGCATTAGCACACAGTCAATGGTTATAAAGCCTAGAGTAATAATATGTAAATTACATCTGCTGAAACTCAGAGCCTGTGAAAAATACGAGTACCCTTTGATTATTTGCGTAGTGAACGACATTTAAAGTGGTTAAGATGAGAAGAAATGACTCACAACTCTGTCTCGTGACTCACTATTGCCTCAAAGTAGTATAACGAGTAAGTAAGGGTGGGGCTAGTTTGTTAGCATTTCAGTAGCACTTTCAAAAAGACACATCTTTAAAAATAATGTAAACAACTTGTAATGTCAGTTCATTGTTGAATTGTTAGATTTTAAACCTTAATTGTTGGCCACATCTTACAAATTAAAAGGTCTCCTATTATAATATATTACATGTCTCTGAAGTTTGGCTCGAAAGATCATTGCAGCATCCCATAATCCCCTCTGTTTCAGCCCTGTTCCTGTTAGATTGTAAAACCTTAATTGTAGGCCAGAATTTACACATTTAAACTCTGAAGCATTTGTTCTAGATTCTTCCAGCCTACATGCTCACATGGGACAGATCTTAATGCTATCAGAGCTGGAGCTAAACTGACCAAGAGCGAAATCCAGTCCCACCCCGACTCCGCTTCCCACCCCGAACACGGCGTAAAGCGGCTGTGTGAAGTTAGCTCTGAATGTATGAAGGTGCGTCATACTTTCAGCCACGCTGTAGAACGCCAGCGTGCCCGTGGAGAGGTCCAAATAGATCCCCAAACGAGGAGAATAAGTGACGGGGATGTCTTTCTTCTGGTTGTCATGCATGGCCGAGCAGCAGGTGTCCGACAGCTCCAAAGTCCAAGACTGGGCGTTGTAACCGAGCCCCGAACGAGAATCCAAACCTTTTCTAATCATCGCTTTGTAAGCTACGCCTATTGAGGATCCTCTTCCTCTCCACTCCACTTCCCAGTAACACCGCTGGGAGTACAGAGGAACCTCGCACATCACCTGGGTCCATCCGTCAAAACGCTGAGGAGTGTTTGGGTACGGCTGCGCTGCCCCCTGCAGGGTGGCTTTAGTGTTGCCCTCGGAGAGAGAGAGCCGACGATGGGCTGTGTTGGTGTCGAGGGTCAAGGTCATGGAGTCTAGAGAGGGTTGAATTGACAATTATTCACATGTTCTGGCAATTATTAAGCAACATTAAATAACCCTATTACCCAAATGGACGTCCATTTTACACTAAAACACCCTTTATATGGCTGTGTTGGTGTCAAGGGTCAAATTCATGTAGTCTAGAGAGGTTTGAATTGACAATTATTCACATATTCTGGCAACTATTAAGCGTTAAAGCAACAGTTTTTTATGAATCAATTCATTAAAAGTAGTGAAACATTGAGACTCACACTGTAGGAACTCCTCTCTGGTCCTCGGCTCTGGCGCCTGGATGCTGTCCAGGTTGATTTCTCTCACTGGATAAAAGCAAATAATATGTCCAATTAGCACAAAGTTGCAATGCATGTATTGATTTGCAATACTCTCAAGATAAAGATGAACTCACATCCAGGGAAAGCAGGAGCCTGAGTCATGGTGTCGGTCGGAGAGTCCAGAAAAAGACCTGGGTTAACTGTGAGAAAACAATTCATAAGTTGACTAATTAGCTATACTATAAGAAGAATATGAATATATAAAAGCTTCAATCTTACTCTCTGTTGGTGTTTCGGACAAAGCAGACATCCCCCCTGTTGAGTGAACACAAGTCAGACAATTAGACACTTTGAAAATTGTTTATAATTAAAAGAAACACACTTTAATTAATGGGCTGATTGAAGGTGAGTTAGGGAATAAAGATGAAAATGTAGGCATATTTATCACAAATGTAAGGGGTCTTACATGCGTTTGTGTTATTTTCCGGGGTGATTGGGGTAGCCGCGGTTGTGCCACGTCGATGGGAACGGAAGAGGCTGCTGATCGATGCCATCCGACTGAAACCTGACCCTGAACCAGGAAGAGAGGAAAGAAATATGTTGTGAAAATACTGAATGTCCTCTTCCAGTATGAGAGTCACATGATCACAAAGGTATCCCAACTGTAGCTGTGAACATGACAGGATGTGTGATGACCTAGAAGAGCATCAGGACTGTTTGAGGCATATGATAGCTCTGTGATTAACATGATGATTCAGCCTCTATGGAGAGAGACATCAAGCATGCTCATTTCTGACGTGGAGCTAATCTGAAGTAAACATTGAATACTGCTTTCTATTCCTCCATCTTGTGACGGTGTAACTCCCTCTCTTGATATCAGCATGTGAAGGACACTGTTCAGGAACTACTTGATGCTCTGTATGTGATGACTCCTTCCATTCTGGAGAGGATCACAAACACATGGATCCTGAGATTGAAGCTCAAGCCGGTGAGGAGGGATATTTTTCTAACAGAAAACAAAATGTGTTACACTTTCAACACAAAAAGTGGCTTCAAATCTTTGGTGAAAAGAAGGGTAGAGTACCTCCGTTTGATGCTGCAGGTGCAGGTGCTGGACTAGGAGCTGGACTAGGAGCTGGAGCTGGAGTTGGTGTGGATGGGATTCGAGTCGGGGTTTGAACCGGTGCTGCAGCCTGGCTCTGACTGGACCGGCTCCAAAGAGATTGAGACTCTCTGCGGCTGGGAGTTGGGCTCGGAGTGGGACTGGGTCTGGGGTTCGTCTCCCTCACTGTTTAAAGGGAATGAGAAATGTTAGATCTATGCAGAGTTTGAAGAAGTACTCAGATCTGGTACTTGAGTAAAAGTAGAAGTACTCAGATCTTGTACTTGAGTAAATGTAGTAGTACTCAGATCTTGTACTTGAGTAAAAGTAGAAGTACTCAGATCTTGTACTTGAGTAAAAGTAGAAGTACTGGAGTGTAGGAATACTCTGTTACAGTAAAAGTCCTGCATTCAAAATGTTCCTCAAGTGAAAGTAGAAAAGCATTCTCATCAAAATATAGTGAAAGTAGCGACAGTGAAAGTAGTCGTTGTGCAGATTGGTCCATTTCAGAATAATATATATGATATGTTTTATAATGATTGATCATGAAAGTGTTCTCAAAGCTGGTGAAGGTGCAGCTAGTTTGAATGACTTTGTATACTGCAGGGTAGCTGGTGGATTTACTCCAGGTGGAACTAAAGTCGGATTCAGGAAATAACAGAAACATTGTTATCAGGTTTATTAAATCTACCTGTCTCTCTTTCCTCTCTCCTCTGTCTGTCCCGAGGTCTCGGTGAACTCGTGTTTCCTTTGTCTGTAAAAAATGAAAAAGCATATTTTAAAACCTGCACACACATTGTAGTGACTGGCTTTTCAGGTTAGAAGTTCACACACAACATTGACTTACATGCATTTCCTGGAGACTTATCCTAACCTTAACGATAACCAACACATGCCTAACCAAGTCTTCACCCTAAAATTAATGATTCCCCTTATGGGGACCTCCATTTTCTCCCCATAAGGGAGGCGAGTCCCCACACGTGACTATATACACACACACACACACACACAGCCTCACCTCGTGGTGTGTCTCTACTCCGCACATCTTGATTTCTGAGGCCTATACCTGATAAATGAAACGTAAATGTTTAATACAGACTGAATATCGAATTACTGTGGATATATTGTCACATGTCAGTGTGTATTACCAACTCCTCGTCTGTCGGCACGGGCTCCCACAGTTGGGGCTGTGAGGATAAAACATGCATAAATTACACCTGTTTATATAAAAGATAAAGCGAAAAGATGTAGTGATGAAAAAACCGGACATACCTGGTGAACGACTGTTTGTGTTACGAGAAGCAAGACCAGAAAACACTGCAGAAAACTCAGATATCAGAAACGCTTTTAACGGGTCTAATAATTTATTTATCATGAAAAAACCACTGAAACTCACATTTAAAAATCCCTCCTTTGTGTCCTGAGCGATTAGCTAGATAACAAAAAAGAGGAAGTCAATGTTAAAGCATGTTTTATAGCATTCATGTTTTAAAAAGGTAATATGCTTACCGTCTCCAAGAGTGAACAGCGTCGTATCATTGACTGGAAGAAAGAAAAACAGATGAAACTTTATTTATCCCCTTGAGGAAATGCTGGAGTTAAAAACAGTCTTTATTTCGAACAGATTAAAAAATAACAAATGTGAAAAACAGAATACCGTATTGTTATAATACAGTATTTATCCACATTCATGGTAATATTTGTATATTCAACAAAAGTCTTCATATTAATAATAATAATAAATCATATGTGTCCGAAAGGGAGCAGGAGGAAGCAAATGCTTATTCATTCCCACCCCTTACTTGATCAATGATTGTCCTTTAAATCATTATGCAAGTTATTCCTACATACATTTACATTTATACAAACATGTCTCATCTTCAATCACCTTCTTCATTCTCATAGTTTTCCCCAAAAGTGTTTCTGTGCATCCTTTAAACTGAATGCTGCTTGTGCTTTGTTTGAACTCCTGCTCCAAACCATTCCATAAAGTCACCCCACAGATTGTTAAACTCAAACTTCTCAGAGTTGTTCTGACCTTGAGTTTAAAATGTAGATTTCCTCTCAGATGATACCCCCCCTCTCTGTCTACGAACAATGTTTTTAATGTCCTAGGAAGTAGATTATGTCTGGCTCTGTACATGATTTGTGCCGTTTTAAATGTAACCAGATCAATGAACTTCATGTGTGACTTCAAGAATAATACATTAGTGTGTTCAAGATATCCAACATTATTGATAACTCTTATAGCCCTTTTTAGTAATGTGCATAACGGCTGTAGGGTGGTTTTGTACGTGTTTCCCCAAATCTCCACACAGTAAATCAGATATGGCAATATGAGTGTGTTATATAGAGTATACAATGAGTTATAGTCCAGAATGCATCTGGCTTTTCCCAGTTTTGCTTTCACATGAGTGATATGAGGTTTCCAGCTGGTCTAAAACCACACCAAGGAACTTCATTTCCTATACTCTTTCCATGTGTTATCTAGTATTAATTGTATCTGTGGATTTGTTTTATGTTTTCCAAATAACATAATCTTTGTTTTGCTTATATTTAATGATAATTTGTTTGTGTCAAACCAATGTTTTACTTTAATCATTTCTGCTGTTATCACTTCGTTTTCACACAAAGTTAAAATAGAATACAAATTAAAATAATACAGCAAAAGTGATAAAGTAACTATTAAATAAGATATCACACTGAGTAGCTTAATGCCTTAGAATGTCTTGTCTATGTTTCTTTTGTTGTTATTATTATTCATTTTATTTCAGTGTTGTTTTTTGTGGTTAAGGTTTGTTTGTTTGTTGTTGTTTTGTTGGTAGAATGGTCTCTTTTACTCCCTTTATTGTACATGTGAAGGTCCATGTATGTATGCTTTCTGTGTTTGACAATGTCACAAATAAATCCTATATATACACATACAAAAATACAACAAGATATCACAGTTAAAACTTGTGCATTTGTATGAACATGTTACGTATATTTACATAAGTGTGCAGGTTATAGTCCTGTAAAACAGTGCAGGTGTTAAGATACGACATCTAAAAGGTAGATCAAAACAACATTAGACTATTTTTGACTAACCTTGTTTGGTGATCTTTCCCAATTCCTGGTTGCAAATATCCTCAATTTTGTCCCTGAGGTCGAGGATGGCATCTCGTACCGGTTCAAAAGAAGCTTCTGGATTTACCACCACAGTGGGAAGGTCTCCGGACTCCAGGGGATTACACAAGGACTCGCATGTCTGAAGGAAAAAGGTATTGGCTCAAAGAAGTCTAAACCTCCAGAGGTACATGGTGTACTTTTACTCCCATACATGTATTTAATACCTTTAGTTACTTTACAGATTTAATGTGAAATATTCAATACTTTAGTTCCACCTGGAGTAAATCCACCAGCTACCCTGCAGTACACAAAGTCATTCAAACTAGCTGCACCTTTACTAGCTTTGAGAACACTTTCATGATCAATCATTATAAAACATATCATATATATTATTCTGAAATGGACCAATCTGCACAACGACTACTTTCACTGTCGCTACTTTCACTATATTTTGATGAGAATACTTTTATACTTTTTGTTGTGGAAATAATTATCATAAGACGCCAATTAGTAACATACAGGACAAACCTCGATGTCTGTTTACCTTCTTTAAGGACACAGGCGGCTTAGCCAATAATGTTATTGTTCCCATTCTGTGACCGGTCAATACTGGGATACAGATGGTCTGTGTTGTGGGTACACTGGGACACTTCCTTCTCTGTATTTGTGGACTCCAAGGTGAAATCTTCGAGCTCATAAGTGTCCGAGGCAAGTAGCTCTGTGTTCCCACACTGTTTAGGCTATCTCCTCAAATATGTTGTTTACTCTCTGCGAAACCAGTTAGATGGGCTGGCAAGAGAGAGGCTCTCCAGAATTGACGTGGCAACTCTACCGTGAAGTCAGAACCTCTGACTCTTGGACTTGTGATGTGAATCCTCCGGCCGTTAACTCCAAATAAACCATCATGTGTTTGACATCAAAGCTACTGCTCCTACCGTGTCTCCTTCCTGAGTCGGTGACTCCCACTGCATAGCTACACAGAAGTTTCCTCTACACTTTTACTTGAGGAACATTTTGAATGCAGGACTTTTACTGTACCACAGTATTCCTACACTCTGGTACTTCTACTTTTACTCAAGTACAAGATCTGAGTACTTCTACTTTTACTCAAGTACAAGATCTGAGTACTTCTACTTTTACTCAAGAACAAGATCTGAGTACTTCTACTTTTACTCAAGAACAAGATCTGAGTACTTCTACTTTTACCCAAGAACAAGATCTGAGTACTTCTTCTTTTACTCAAGTACAACATCTGAGTACTTTTACTCAAGTACAAGATCTGAGTAATTCTACTTTTACTCAAGTACAATATCTGAGTACTTCTACTTTTACTCAAGAACAAGATCTGAGTACTTCTTCTTTTACTCAAGAACAAGATCTGAGTACTTCTTCTTTTACTCAAGAACAAGATCTGAGTACTTCTACTTTTACTCAAGTACACGATCTGAGTACTTCTCAATATAATAAGTACAATATCTGAATACTTTTACTCAAGTACAAGATCTGAGTACTTCTACCGCCTTCTGTCCCTTCAGTAATCTTACCTCTAGGTAGTAGATGTGGTCCTCACAGCGTAACAAGTCCTTCATCTCCTTGTCTCTCTTCCTGAGCTCTTTGACCTCCGCCTCCAGACTGTCAGTGACTTCCTGAGCTTGGCCCATCTTCTGCATGCTGGCCTGATCCAGAACTTCTTCAAGAAGTTCCTGCAGACGCTCCACTGAACGCTGCAGCTCCGACAGCACCTGTTCAGTGTCGTCATGGACCATGTCGGAAGAACGCTGGGAGAGAGAAAGATGTCTCAGTATGCAAATCACACATACAGTATTTTAAACATGGAGGGATTAAGAGACAAAGGCCTCCTGGGCACAGAGATCCCCATTATCTACATAGTAACAAGAAAAACTGACTTTAAGCCGTTTGGACTCTTTTCTTGTAATTTTGGGTGTTTTTTTACTTCTTTGGTAATTTCGTGGTTGTTTGTGTATCTTTGTAGTCATTTTGTGTGTTTTTGTCGCTTTGTAGTCATTTCGTGTTTCCTCGTGGTAATTATGTGTCCCTTTGTGGTTTTTGTAGGTTTCTATCAATGACAAAAAGGCCGCTCTGACCCACATCTAAAATGACTATTGCAAGGTTCAAACCAACCTTCGTCACCTCCATCATCTTCTTCATGTCTTTCAGCTCCTGCTCTCTCTCCTTCAGTCTCTGCGTATTCTCTGTCTGCATCTCTGACATCAATTTCTACAGGACGGCACATGAAGGCGCAAAATAAAAAATCATATCTTACACAAGTACAAGGAAGCAGCTGTGCGTGTGAAAGAGGACAACATTAGAGGGTGGAGCAATAAGAATGAGGAATGTAGTTAGGTTTGTCAGCCTGGACACACAACCACGTCACACACAAAGGGAGAGTCACACACACACACACTCAATCACACACACACAAAGGGAGGGAGACACACACACACAACCACGTCACACACAAAGGGAGAGGATCACACACACACACACAATCACAGTCTCAAACACACACACACAACCACGTCACACACAAAGGGAGAGGAGAGGATCACACACACACACAAAGGGAGAGGAGAGGATCACACACACACACAACCACGTCACACACAAAGGGAGAGGATCACACACACACACAAAGGGAGAGGAGAGGATCACACACACACACAACCACGTCACACACAAAGGGAGAGGATCACACACACACACACAATCACAGTCTCAAACACACACACACAACCACGTCACACACAAAGGGAGAGGAGAGGATCACACACACACACAAAGGGAGAGGAGAGGATCACACACACACACAACCACGTCACACACAAAGGGAGAGTCACACACACACACACACACACACAAAGGGAGGGAGACACACACACGTCACACACAAAGGGAGAGGATCACACACACACATACAAACCCATTACATAGAACAATGACAGTAGGAGAGGTCATCAATTGTCCCTATATTAGAAACTGGTGCCCACTTCTTATTGAAGGTGGGTTTATTTAAATAGATAACATTGTGTTGCAATATATGATCCATCTTAAATGTTAGTCAGGATTATTCACATATTGGCACAGGTTGTTCAGATACTTTATAAAAAAGGTTTCCACCTAAACACTTGAAATGTGATGTCCATACAGTTACAGTGGAGCCTGCATAATAGTAGAGTCACTTTTCATCACTGCCACAATGTTTTGCACCTTTCCAAATGGTCCCCATTTCTTACCTGCTTCTCCAAACGCTCAACCTTGGTGGACACACACTCGTGGCCTTTGTGCTGGTTGCTGGTGCACAGCCAGCAGACGAACATTTTACACTGGCGACAGAAGAACTCTTGCAGGTATTTGTGCTCTGTGCAGATCTTCTCAGCCAGATTGCTTGTGGGTGCTATCAGCTCGTGCTTACTCAGGGACTTCTTGGTCTTGTGGGGCTTCAGGTGGTCTTCGCAGAATGAACTCATGCACACCAGGCAGCTCTTGACCGCTGCTCGCTGTTCTCCTTTGCACATGTCGCATAACACTGCAGAGGAAGAGAGTTTCCTTTTGGTTTTGGATGAGGCAACGCCAGTGCCGCTTCGCATAGAGGCACGCACATCAGCTATTTGGGCCCCTTTGCGGAGCTGCTCTACAGCCTCAGCCAGCATGGTGTTTCTCGACAAGGAGGGCTTGGGACTGAAGGACTTTCGGCATTGTGGGCAGCTGTAGACGCCCTTGGGATCGTTCTTGCTCCAGTAGTCCTTGATGCAGGCCATGCAGTAGCTGTGCCCACAGGGGATGGTTACTGGATCATTTGGGAGATCCAGACACACAGGACAGTTAAACTGCTCCTCTGTCCACAGTTTGGCACTCATGCTGAGACTGTCTGATGCAATAATATGGTTAAGTTCGAGATAGATACAATCCTGAGCAGAACAGTATCCAGAGGTAAGTCTTGTAAGGACTGACAGAAGGAAAATGTTTCTCTCTAGTTAAAGCAGGAAGAGATGAGGGGGCGGGGCTAAAGCCACCAAACAGGTCTAGCGGGAAAAACGGGTATCAGTGCTAAATGCCGGAGGTCAAGGAGTGAATGAACTGATTCTTTTCTTTTAATATCAATAACCAGAGAGGGCAACAGTACACAAATCCTTTCAAGTAGAAGTACAGATACTCGTGTTGAAAATACTCTGGTAAAAGTAGAAGTACTGACTAAACTTCTTTACTCAAGTAAAAGTAAAGAACTTTGAAATGTCCTTCAGTAGAAAGTACCCATAACTAGCAGCTGTTTTAAAGAGTACCTGACCTCCCTTTATATTAATAGAACAATAATGTCATTGTTAGCTAATGAATGTTTCCATGCTGAACAACGGCAACATGACAACGTTTCCATTGGTCCCTCTTCTTTAGAGAAGACCAGGAAATGATGGATACACGGATCGTGTTCAAATCAATAGGCACGCAATGACTCTAAAGAATAATGATCACGCATCAAACACACATTCAGACTAAAGGAACCAGCTGTTTGGAAAATGAGAGAAGTAGAAAGTACAGGTATTTGAGTTCAACATGTAAGAAGTAGAAAGTACAGGTATTTGAGTTCAACATGTAAGAAGTAGAAAGTACAGGTATTTGAGTTTAACATGTAAGAAGTAGAAAGTACAGGTATTTGGGTTCAACATGTGAGAAGTAGAAAGTACAGGTATTTGTGTTCAACATGTAAGAAGTAGAAAGTACAGGTATTTGAGTTCAACGTGTAAGAAGTAGAAAGTACAGGTATTTGAGTTCAACATGTGAGAAGTAGAAAGTACAGGTATTTGAGTTCAACATGTAAGAAGTAGAAAGTACAGGTATTTGTGTTCAACATGTGAGAAGTAGAAAGTACAGGTATTTGAGTTTAACATGTAAGAAGTAGAAAGTACAGGTATTTGTGTTCAACATGTGAGAAGTAGAAAGTACAGGTATTTGTGTTCAACATGTAAGAAGTAGAAAGTACAGGTATTTGTGTTCAACATGTGAGAAGTAGAAAGTACAGGTATTTGGGTTCAACATGTAAGAAGTAGAAAGTACAGGTATTTGAGTTCAACATGTAAGAAGTAGAAAGTACAGGTATTTGAGTTCAACATGTAAGAAGTAGAAAGTACAGGTATTTGTGTTCAACATGTAAGAAGTAGAAAGTACAGGTATTTGTGTTCAACATGTGAGAAGTAGAAAGTACAGGTATTTGTGTTCAACATGTAAGAAGTAGAAAGTACAGGTATTTGAGTTCAACATGTGAGAAGTAGAAAGTACAGGTATTTGTGTTCAACATGTGAGAAGTAGAAAGTACAGGTATTTGTGTTCAACATGTAAGAAGTAGAAAGTACAGGTATTTGAGTTCAACATGTAAGAAGTAGAAAGTACAGGTATTTGTGTTCAACATGTGAGAAGTAGAAAGTACAGGTATTTGAGTTCAACATGTAAGAAGTAGAAAGTACAGGTATTTGAGTTCAACATGTGAGAAGTAGAAAGTACAGGTATTTGGGTTCAACATGTAAGAAGTAGAAAGTACAGGTATTTGAGTTCAACATGTGAGAAGTAGAAAGTACAGGTATTATGGTAAATGGTATTATTATTATTATTATTATTATTATTTATATTTAAGATATAGACCATGCAGTATAAATCACTCACTTATTAATGAGACATGTAGACAAGAAAATATCTTTATTGAATACAGAAGAACCAGTAAAAATTCAAAGCAGATTATGTTATGGAAATATAGTATATTAGTAACAAAATAAGGTAGAAGTAAATAATATTTTGTTAAATAAAGTAAATATAAAAAAGTAAATAAAGCAGTAGTATATAGAGAATTAAATAATATACATTTTTTAAACACACAGGATGAAAATTTAACATTATACAGAGGAAAACAACAGAAGTGTTATTCCTGGGAACTAGCAAAATATATTGTCATGAACAAACCCTCCTTGTCATTTTCTCTTGCCCTTTTCAGCCTCCCATCTTTTCTTTTCAGCCTCATAAAAAGCAGACTCCTTGAAGTTCTTCCAGGTCATCTTCTTCTCCATGCCCTGATCCCTGTAGAGTGATAACACTTTAGCAGGACAGTACACATACTTCCCTGCTACTCTTGGGAATCCTGTGTGTATGTGAGGACCGTTTGGGCCCTGCTTGAGTTCCTCTCTACAAAATCCACATTTGCGACCTTTGTGCTCGGGCTCAGTGTTCTTTCTTTTTAGCTGGACTCTCGCCTCCACCCTTTGCTTCATAGCTTCCAGTTCCCGCGGAAAGAAAGCTGTCTCCGCAAAGTCTCCAAATGGCATTTTAGGGTCTGTCAGACCTTCAGCACCATACGTTTTAAAAACTTTGGTGGAGCAGTAGAAGTATCTGACAGTGCCCTGCATGTAGAAGTGGTGGATGGAAGAGCCATCATTTTCAAAGCGGGCCTTTGGCTGGCCGCAGGAAAGACACCTTTTTGTTTGTTTCTTCTTTTGTTGTTGTTGTTGTTGTTGTTGCTGGTTGGCCATAATGTTTCTGACAATATTTTCAACATGTTCTAGTGTCAGAGGTGTGGCTGGGGTCTGAACAGTAGGTGTGGCTGGGGTCTGAACAGGAGGTGTGGCTGGGGTCTGAACAGTAGGTGTGGCTGGGGTCTGAACAGTAGGTGTGGCTGGGGTCTGAACAGGAGGTGTGGCTGGGGTCTGAACAGGAGGTGTGGCTGGGGTCTGAACAGGAGGTGTGGCTGTAGTCTGAACAGTAGGTGTGGCTGGGGTCTGAACAGGAGGTGTGGCTGGGGTCTGAACAGGAGGTGTGGCTGGGGTCTGAACAGGAGGTGTGGCTGGGGTCTGAACAGGAGGTGTGGCTGGGGTCTGAACAGGAGGTGTGGCTGGGGTCTGAACAGGAGGTGTGGCTGGGGTCTGAACAGGAGGTGTGGCTGGGGTCTGAACAGGAGGTGTGGCTGGGGTCTGAACAGGAGGTGTGGCTGGGGTCTGAACAGGAAGTATGGGGTTGAAAACGGCAACAGGCATGGTAACAACTGGCACACTGGTGGTCTCACTACCCTCTGTGAGAGAGTGCCAGAGGACCTGCCTCTCTTGCAGTTTCTCCGGGCTGAGCAGGTTATCAACAGCCTGCTTCATAGGGACTGGCCAGCGCTTGTGGTCCAACACTAACACCCTCCCAGTTAGCGAGCACGGCAGAGGCAGAGACTGCAGACATGTGGTTTCTATAACAACAAAAGACATTCATTAAATATCCCATATTATACATCAATATATTATAGATCTCAAATATATACAAAACATGTCTCTGAAATGTTTGAAACACCAAACAGATCATTGCAGCATCCCATAATCCCCTCTGTTTCAGCCCTGTTCCAAAAGCGCTGCTGATATTTGGTTAAAAAGAACACAATGGTGCTCTAGAGGAGATTCAGGTGATAAGGGGGGGGGGGTTACCTGGTTGGTGATTGGCTAATGGTTACACAAGACAAATTATTACATCATAAAGTGGCCAAAATCTGATCAGCTCATTTTCAGACAGGTTTTTATAGAAATGGATCAAAAAGAGAGAGAATCTTTGTTCCTGAAACTTTCAGAGTCTCTTTCCACAGAGGGGACACATGTTGATGTAGAAGAGACATGAAGAAGAGGGGACACATGTTGATGTAGAAGAGACATGAAGAAGAGGGGACACATGTTGATGTAGAAGAGACATGAAGAAGAGGGGACACATGTTGATGTAGAAGAGACATGAAGAAGAGGGGACACATGTTGATGTAGAAGAGACATGGAGAAGAGGGGACACATGTTGATGTAGAAGAGACATGAAGAAGAGGGGACACATGTTGATGTAGAAGAGACACGAAGAAGAGGGGACACATGTTGATGTAGAAGAGACATGAAGAAGAAGAGACACATGTTGATGTAGAAGAGACATGAAGAAGTGGAGTTTGCATAATAGGTGACCTTTAATGTCTAAGAAAACAAAGGTTCTTTATAGAAATAAATGATTGAAATCCAGTCACTGATGCTGAAGGATTATTCACTACTTTGTCTGTGCGTCTAATGTTTACCTGGCTCTGTGTGAGGCTCTGGAGTCGTTCCTGCAGTCACATCTTGTTTCACATCAGAATCATCAGGAGGGTTCACAGGAAACTGCTGGTGTTGGTACTCATGCAGGAGGCAGTCTGTCAGGTAGTGTGCAGACACAGAGATCCCGTTCCAGCCATCATAGTCCCCATACTCTCCAAAGGGAGCCGGCTTGGTTTCCTGCCGAACGAACTGGGTAATTGTCTTCTGGTCATACTTTCCTTCCTCACCATCCATGATGTTCTTACAGCTGAGGAGGTAGGCCAGATCAGCACGTTCATATTTAAGGTGCATCAACTCCGTGATCTGCTTTGCCATATCAGTGGGTGACTTGCCGCTGCGCCGGAGCTCGTCCAGTACCGACTTACAGATGGCCTTCTTGTAAGTCAGTACTGCTGGCAGTAGGTTGGTGAACCTCTTGGGGAGCTTTTCCAGCCAGGATGGATTGTCGGCATACCACCTCTTCCGGCAGACTTTGCAGCAGAGCCTTGAAGACAGCAAGTAGTACTGTCCGGTGGTGCCGACAATCACACGAGGCCTACCAACACCAGCAGAGGCAATTTGAGGCTGAGCACAGCCGTCAATACACGGCAGAGTGTAGTTGTTCCTCAGTCTACCCATCAAATTGTCATTTTCTGGCTTCCAGATGAAAAAGGGATGGAGCTGAAAGTACTTGGCGCAGGGAAAATCATAGACGCTGTCAATCAGCTCTGGCTGGGGAGCGCCACGCCACAATGACACCATCTTGTTGCGTACAGGAACGGAGCCTGGCCAGAGCCCCATGGATTCCAGCTCCGTCTTCATCCAGGTCCTCTGCTGCGTCGAACACTTCCACTGACTGACATCCTGGTCGTAGGCAGGAAGCTGAGGAGGAGGACAGCTGGGGACCGTTGATGGTCTGGGTAATGGCTGACCTAGGCAGACAAGAAATAAAAACACATGGCAAATAATTATGACTGTCTGTGATTTGGATGTTTTTCTTTCTAGCAAGTACACATCCAAATGAGAAACATTCAAACACTTGAAGGTGCCTCAAAAATGTGATACTATTGTTAGTATCACTCACTTTGTGTTGGTGCAGCTGGTGGATGCAGTGTCGGTTGACAGGGCTCTGCAGAAATCTCAGGAGCCACTATAGAAAATATTAAAACATGTCGTTATTATCAACAGTAAAATAAAGAAATAATGTTGAATGACACTTGGCATCTTCACCGTAGTCAGCAAACTGTACAAGAGTCAAACATATACACACCTGGAACAGTGATGTGGGTCTCTGTTGGCGTCGGGGCGGATGGTTCCGGCATCAGCTCCTTTGGGAGGGGCACAAGTGTCTTTACAGGCAGAGCAGGGGCTGCATGGAGGGATGGCCAACAGATTCATCAACATGTTGGACAGATGCAGGTGAATGTGATTCAGGGTTTAAATGTAAACAGTAATATAATGCATTACCTTCTACTAGTGAAGCCTTCAGTTGACTTTGTGTGGAGAGGGTAGCAGACGGTACTAAAACAGAAAAGTGTGTCAGTTTATTCATATTATGGCAATATAGAAATAAGTAATTATGTTAGTAAGACCAAACATCACCCATAATAATAATAATAATGCATTACATTTTTAATTAGAGCGCTTTTACAGGTGCTCAAAGCGCTTTACAATTACACATATTAGACATGTATTGTCACCCATCTTTACTCCACCTGCTGATCTCATAAAGTGAAACATTCATACACATTTCATTCATACACATGCATTCTTTTTGTTCGGATTAATATTCAGCATCCAGTCATTACAACTCAGTCTGAGCAGGTGAAATAACTTGGTACACTGCAACTAGGGCTGCTCAATTAAATCGTATTTTAATCGCGATTATAGCTTGCAACGATTACGAAAACAACGTAATCGAAATAAAACGATAAAGTTCAGGGTAATCAACTGTTAAAAACATATTGTTCACATTTTTTTCTCCAATAAATGGATGTTTTCAAAGTCAATGAATAATCGCAATTAATAATCGCAATTACAATTATTGACCCAAATAATCGAGATTATGATTTTTGCCATAATCGAGCAGCCCTACTGCAAACACATGCGTTCACGTGTTAGTGACCACAGCAGTTTAAATGTGTACTTTTCATTAAATCCAAATAAGAACAAAAGCAGTAACTTACCCTCAACATGACTGCTTTCAATTCATAGTCGCGAGGACAACATGTAGAAGAGCAAAGACAAACAGACCAGAACATGGCCAACATGTGACAGAAAGCCATGCTTAATTTTGGGGAAATAATTCATGGTCCCAGAGTTGTCAGCTGATGACATCAGGAATGAAAAATAAAAATAAACCTCTTTTTGTTCTTGGAGCTTGTTGTGGGCTTGCTGTTGATGGTGGCGCAGAGACCGCTGCAAAAAACAAATATCGAACAGGCTGAATTATAAATGATTTTAACTCTTCAAGCAGAGACAACATGTTCACTCACAGCTCTGCACACGTTGCTTGGAAGGAGAGATACTCAGCATCGCTTGCTCTTCATTTTGATCCATCCCTAAATGCCAACAGACAAGACTTAGATCAGACATTATGAGGTTAACATCTCAGCCCTAGCTTTAACTGTCTGCACATTCACATTGTGCTATAATATATGTAGTGTTATTTTACTTTGTATCTGATATTGTTGATCTTGGTGTACCTTCATTAAATGCCTTTCTTCCTGTATGTCTGGAGCTCTGTGTTTGTTGAAACAAACTATTTACACTTCAATTACCCCCCATGGGTCAAACTCTTTAACTAACAAAGGAAAACAATGTGAGGGTGAAGGGAGCTCAGCCGCCACCCCCCAGTCATGTGACCCAGGTAACACTTTAGTGTGGAGTGTCCTATCTAGAAACACCCTTTGTACAATTTCCTTTTAGCTAATTCAAACAGAAATTCATTTCAATGATAAAGACTGCTTTTACATACATATTAAAACAAGTTCTATCACCATAATAAAAGTAAAATGACTTTTTATGCAGAATTGTCAATATCTATAAAAAATAATACGGGAGTTAATGGTAAACTTACATGGTAGTTAGCGTTAAATTATATATTTAAATATGCATTCATGTAAACGCTAACACGGAGGATTTCAGCACAAGGAACTCGCAGTAATATCTACTCACCAAGTCAACAAAAACACAATAAACTCACACACAAATCATATTACATTAACTTTAAGCGGCTAAAGTTTAATTCACTTTACATGAACATGTATTTCATCCCAAAGTGCCGTGTACATGCAGCCGTTAGACTCGATACACTTACACGGACAACTTTATGGCGTTCATCTAAACTAAAACACGTCAGACAAAGCCCAGATAACATATCATTACATGTCGCTTCTTTGTTATTAATTCATGTTAATATAACGTACCTTATAGTTTGGTCGTAAATAATGTCCAGAGATGAAAAAGATGTATGCAGTCACGTCGCTGTCCAGTCTCTCACTGAGGGAGAGAGGGGGGGAGCGGACAGCTCTCACTGAGGGAGAGAGAGGGGGAGCGGACAGCTCTCACTGAGGGAGAGAGGGGGGGAGCAGACAGCTCTCACTGAGGGAGAGAGGGGGGGGGAGCAGACAGCTCTCACTGAGGGAGAGAGGGGGGGAGCAGACAGCTCTCACTGAGGGAGAGAGGGGGGGGGGAGCAGACAGCTCTCACTGAGGGAGAGAGGGGGGGGAGCAGACAGCTCTCACTGAGGGAGAGAGGGGGGGGGGGAGCAGACAGCTCTCACTGAGGGAGAGAGAGGGGGGAGCAGACAGCTCTCACTGAGGGAGAGGGGGGGGGGGAGCGGACAGCTCTCACTGAGGGAGAGAGGGGGGGAGCAGACAGCTCTCACTGAGGGAGAGAGAGGGGGGAGCAGACAGCTCTCACTGAGGGAGAGGGGGGGGGGGGAGCGGATAGCTCTCACTGAGGGAGAGAGGGGGGGGGAGCGGGACAGCTCTCACTGAGGGAGAGAGGGGGGGGAGCAGACAGCTCTCACTGAGGGAGAGAGGGGGGGAGCAGACAGCTCTCACTGAGGGAGAGAGGGGGGGAGCAGGACAGCTCTCACTGAGGAGAGAGGGGGGGAGCAGACAGCTCTCACTGAGGGAGAGAGGTGGGGGGGAGCAGACAGCTCTCACTGAGGGAGAGAGGGGGGGGGGAGCAGACAGCTCTCACTGAGGGAGAGAGGGGGGGAGCAGACAGCTCTCACTGAGGGAGAGAGAGGGGGGAGCAGACAGCTCTCACTGAGGGAGAGAGGGGGGGGAGCAGACAGCTCTCACTGAGGGAGAGGGGGGGGGGAGCAGACAGCTCTCACTGAGGGAGAGAGGGGGGGGAGCAGACAGCTCTCACTGAGGGAGAGGGGGGGGGGAGCAGACAGCTCTCACTGAGGGAGAGAGGGGGGGAGCAGACAGCTCTCACTGAGGGAGAGAGGGGGGGGAGCAGACAGCTCTCACTGAGGGGAGAGGGGGGGGGGAGCAGACAGCTCTCACTGAGGGAGAGAGGGGGGGGAGCAGACAGCTCTCACTGAGGGAGAGGGGGGGGGAGCAGACAGCTCTCACTGAGGGAGAGAGGGGGGGAGCAGACAGCTCTCACTGAGGGAGAGAGGGGGGGGGGCAGCCAGCTCTCACTGAGGGAGAGAGGGGGGGAGCAGACAGCTCTCACTGAGGGAGAGAGAGGGGGGAGCAGACAGCTCTCACTGAGGGAGAGAGGGGGGGGAGCGGACAGCTCTCACTGGCAAGTGTGCCACAGCGCCACTCGTGGCCAAAGATATATTACATCCGTAGTGATTTAGCACTACCATAGATAATGAATGGGAAAGCGTTTTAGTCATAGACTGGTTTTAGTACAATTATCTGGGGGGGTAAACGACCATGGGTTCAATTCCCCGACGGGGAGTGCACACACTTTTGTTGTTGTTGTGGATAACAGCCATGCAGTACAGACATTCAGGAAAAGAATGCCCCTGTCTGCTCCTCTCAGCTGTAAACCCTAAATGCCATCGTTTTGAGCAAATGCGTCTTTTCTTTTCCAGGTGAAGAGGCACACCAGAGAGACTTTCCTGAATCTAATGTATCCAGCAGTAACCTTTTCCAGTCCTGATGATCCTCCGGTGTCTTGCCCCCCCGCCTCCTCATGCCATCCTCCTTCATCCCCCGAAACTACGGAGGCTGTTTGGGACTTTTCCTAACTGCAAAAAATGATCTAAAAAAAAAATCCTGACTAGAAAAAGCCAAACGAAAGGACAATCAAAGCAAAAGCAACGAGGCCAAATTCTACTGTGCTTTGATTTTGTATTATCATCCCTACTCGCTGAGCCTTTTTTAAAGTATGTCGTTTTTTAGATACGTTTGTCTGATATGGTGACATTACTGTGAAAGTGCTGGATCATCAATGAACTGTTAACATGTCACAGGACAGAAGACTAATTTGTTGACTTACAATCACGCACTTCCTCTGAGATTAAAAGGCAACTTTGATACTACAGTTATACTAAACAGTATGTTGTTGTTATGGTGTTATATCCTAATAGGTACTTAGAAAATAACCCCTGTATGTCTGAGTATCCGAGGTTAGATGCAATATGTATTCAGACTGTGAATAGTGAATACAGAGGTACGTAATAGGACATTACAACAGCAAGAGAGAAACATCAATCTTACATTTGCATAAAAGTGCTTCCATGGGTACATTTTCAAATATGTTTCTGCTACTCTTGAACATGTATGCACATTGTTTATTGTATTAACACTCATTTCTTAGTGCAATCTTGCCTGTAAAAACGTAGCAATAGAATATATGTGATGTCTTAATGGGTTATCCATAGACACTGTAGAGAAGTCTTCCCAGCCCTTATTGTCGGTGATTCACCAGAAGATTATTTTGTAACTTACTTATCCAACAATGCCTTTCTGTTCTGATCATCTGATCTATTTGTAACTGTGATTGAGTGTACTGTGTATGAGAACTGTGATTTACAGAACTTATCGACCATGGTAGTATGAGCCTTATATACACGTATAGTTATAAATTATATATAAATATGAATATGCAAACTTTGATTTTCTTGACTTATTTGTTTTCCATTCATACATCCTCTCTTAGGACACAAACACATGATATAATATGTTTTAACTGATCTCAACTTAATGATACAAATAAGAATTTGCCAGTATTGACAAATTCAAGTCATTCAAGTTGAATTAAATGCATTTTTTGCTGATTTTGCAGCTCTATTTCTTCAGTAAATGGTCATAAAATGATAGAAAAACAGTGATGCAGGAGTTACAGTGTACCTATTGTTTGCTATAAAACATTAGTGTATATTTATGGCATTTATTTACACAAAAAAAACACATTTTTCCACTTCTTTCTCCACTTTAAGTAGGTTAAGTACATGTTTAGAATAAGTGAGAGATAGTGTTACGTGCCGTTGTGGGTGTGTTCCTCTCCCCCTGATTGTCTCCCTCCAGGTGCAGCCTCTCCCTCAGGTGCTCCCAATCCCCAATCAGGGCCTCCATAAAGGACCTGAGGAAGGCTGCAGTCTCTCTTCCTTCTCCTGTGAGCTGCATGGATGGCAGTGGGTGATCTGTGCAGCACTGCAGTGTTTTTGTTGCAACTTATAGAAGTTCTGAGTATTGTTATGATTTACTGTGGTCGCTTTCTGTTATGTGGAAGTTGTTTGGTTTGGTCACAAGTTTACAAATTGGCTGGTGAGTCTTTTTCTTTGATTAATTAAAAGACCATCTTGTGGCTTCCCCTATAGTCCAGTAGGGAACACAGATGTAATTAGTTTGCCAGCTATCATACTGGAGACATAAGTATAATTAATATCTCATTCTTAACTGTCTGTTTTTCGTTTTATTTAACATTATAAATGTATCTGTCTTTTTCTGTTGAGATTCCTGTAAAAAAGGGACATTGCATAAAAGATTTAGAGAAATCTAAATAAAAGTATTAAAATATATATATTAGGGCCGGGACCCGATTAAAAAAATGTATCTAATTAATTAGAGGCTTTGTAATTAATTAATCGCATTTTAATCGCATTTTTAATCACATATAAATATTTGACCTAAGAACAGTGAGAAGCAATTTTTTTCACATGGATTTTAGTATACCATTAGGCGCATTCACACCGCAGTACTTTTCCCACAAAGGTTCATGAGAATTTAGTTCATGAGAACTCTTTGAACCTGGGGGAGGATTAGGCAAATGAAGCCGCTGACGTCACTTCTTCTTCTTCTGCTTTGGGTTTACTGGCAGGCCGCAAACCACTTCACGGCGTATACTGCCGCCCAAAGTCCCCGGCCGGAAGTCCCCGGAGTTGGGGACTGGCTTCAGTAGAAGCTGCTGGGAGTCCCAGCAGCTTCTACTGAAGCCTTCCTAGTAAATCGCTAGAACGCCGACACCTCCTCATCTCCACCGCTCCCATGTTTTATTTTGTGTTGCCATAAGTTAGTCTCTCTGCGTTTCTGC